GCTATTGAAAGGAAGAATTCTTCGGTCGAATATGAGATTTTTGGGGTCTGCAGAAGTTACATAACATCGTGGGAATGATCTTCGACCATCCACGGGGATTGTGCTGAAGAATTTCGGGAAATCTATGGTGCGAATTCTATATGTCAGTGACTTAAGTACACACAATCGGCATGTTGATCAAATATAATTCCAGGAACCAGGTGAGTCTGTTCCAATTTCGGTTGTTAATTCTAATACTAACGAGCACATTCTAGATAATACAGAGTCCTTGTCCAGTACACTTTTCGACAGACACAGGATGAACTTGAGAAGAAGACGTACAATTGATTACAGACACCTAGACTCCAATTTAAGCTGTGGCGGACGTGGTTTTTGAATGAGCTGATGATTCCTTTGCTTGATTTCGGATTCCAAATTCGGTACATTCGTTTGTGCTTATCTAGTACTTCTTGATCCAACTGCGTTATTTCTGGGATTCTTAGTTCGTGCTACAATTTAAATACTCCTTATCATCATAATCCACCATAAGACTCTTAACCGACCAACCTCGTGGAAATGCGAAAATCATCAATTTGAACAACAATGCAAATAAAACATACTCCATATTTAAGAAATTTATCACAAAACCAACTAAGCTCTCACACCAGGACAGCAAAGCACATATTAGTATGGCAGTAGACACATCCAACTCTGTAATCAGAGGAAGTTTACAATAATTTTTAATCAACGGATGGCAACCTTTACCATTCTTCTCGAGATGATTGCAAGACACTGGATCGAGATATAGCACATTTGTTAGGGAACTACCGGAGTGTATTGTGTTATACAGAATTTTCAACACTGTGAAAAGCCGAGACATGCATATTCAGTGATTTTCGTAACGACAAAATGAAGAACACAGTTTCCTATTTGTCACGCTTTACATGTTACCACATTTAAGTTCATTGTCTATTGCTTCTCTGTATCAATAGTAAAGAAAATTACATAATAGTTTGGGAACATATGTAGAATTATGGTCTACTATAATATTAGTACTGCTCTAATAATAGACCTAATCATTAAATGGTAGATTTGTCATGATGTAACTGCCTAATATATAAGATCTTACGTGGGTGTCACATCATTATCTACACTGACTCATCGTATCATACCAATCACCAATACATGATGGAGTACAAGCTTAGGCTGCAGATAGAACATTATATTTAATATGAATAAAAGATATAAGATAACATTCAAGAGGGACCACGCCCGCAAGACCGAACCATGCCACCCCATCAACTCGAACTAATCCAATTCATTCTTCCCGCCCTCTTCGTCGTCGGGTTTTTCTCCGTGTTAAATGTTAAATGTCTATTCCCCATAATGTCTCGTGTTAGGGCCCAATGCCGCTACGTATATACACGCATTGCCACGGTTGCTGAATAATAAACGCTATCTCCGCTGTCTGTCCTTCTGCTTTATTGGCCACGGCCTTTAGTTGAAGATTATAATATAGCGTCCTTTTAGGCTTTCCGACACTATGCTGAAGATTTGTTTTGGATTATTATTAAATAGTACTATCGGATTTAATCTTTCTCATTATGCCATCGGTGCCACCATATATAGAGAAACCTTTGTTATTTAAGTGAACTCTTTTGTAATTGTCATCTCAGAGAGCAACTTACAAGTGACATACATTTCATAAAAACTGTTATCATATTGTTATGTAATATATGATTTATATTGTAACTGTAACTTCTTACCTTTTGCTTTACTCATAAACAGGTGCTTGGGTTCGTAGTGATAACTGTTGTATTATTGGTACCTATGCGTATTGTTATATATTGAATAAGCTTTTTTGCTGAGATCCACCGAAAATTCACTCTTTGTAACGACTACAAACCTCTCACATTTTCTCCAAGCTCGTCCTTAGACAAATACTCCTCACGAGCGTCACGACAACTAAACAACATCCCGCAGTTTACTCCAGATATACAATATATTTCTGGGGTATACAATTTAGTGGCAGAGTCCCTGTCTCGTATAATTTTCTTGAACAATTTCCAAAGAATCGACTTCCTTAAACTCGCTCAGATTCAAACGGAAGACACCGAGTTTCAACATAAGTTGTCCTCAATAACCCTGAAACTACAGATCCAACAGATAAAAACATGTGGAGAAACTGTATTACGTGAGAAATCTACGGGTAAGGATCATCTAGTCATGCCGAAACATCATGAACGCAACATCTTTAATACATTGCACGAATTCTCCAATCTAGGTGTCCGAGCGACTATGAGGCTCATAGATGGATGCCTTTGGTGGCATGATATGAATAAAGATGTCCGGTAGTAGACACACGTCTGTTTCAGCTGACAGAAATCTGATGTAATCAGTTCCTTAGGATCTTTTGCAACTGCCGACCCTCATTTCGACCATGTTGTTCTTGATTCGGTAGGACTTTAACCAGAATCCATTAGATAGTCTTACCTCTTAACATGTAAAGACCATTTCACACAGTTGTAAGAAGCAGCACCCATTGAAGACACCATTACTGAAACAGTGATTCGCACCTTCGTCGAACGATAGGTAGCAATATTTGACTGCCCCTCGTCTGCGACTACAGATCGTGGACGCCAGTTCAAATCTGGACTTTTCCGTTGTCTTACCACATTATCAGGAATCCCAGGATTCCGAACGACCACCTACCATGCACACGAAAATGGGTTAGTATTGCAATCTCACAGACAGTTGAGAACTTCACTCTCATCTACAAACGAATCATAACAGAATCGCAATACTCTGTATTCATGATGCACAGACGGCTGACGTTTGGCATACAGCAGTGCGACTCATCTACGTAGTGAAATCTAGACATACAGGAGACTTCGCGGACCCTTCGTTTTCCTTAACGAATGCAGGTTTAAATATCTACAGAGGTGGACTTTTGAATGCTAAGTGTTAAGTTAAACTTGTCTACAGTTCCCCGCAATCAAATACTATCTTCGTTCGAACCCCCCTTCTTGTACGTTGAGATTCATTACCCCAACTACTGAAAACCGCGTTCGAAAGGACACTTCGAAGTCCGTCACTGCAGACATAAGTCCTGTATCGTAGATAAAAACAATACTAACGATAACCCCGGAATGGGAAGTCTTAAGGGTACTTACTTAGAAAGGAACTATGGTGCTTGTATGAACTAACGATTCTTTTGTACTTGTTGAGTGCTTGATTTCGAATTCTAAATACAATATATTCGTTCGTGCTTATCTAGTACTTCTTGATCTAAATGAGTTATCTCTGGGATTCCTAGTTTGAACTATAATTCAAATACACCTAATTATCGCTGAAACTCAATCTATGTTGCCTATTCACCAAACAATCGAATATCCTATTCCTCAAGGCACAGATGCAATCCCCGATGATTAATAACCAGAAGAAATTTAGGCTGTTATTCGAAAAACGCTTTTCAGGTGCGATTAAGTTTCCGGAACACTAGAATGAGTACTGCATAGAAGAGGTTTTAGAAGTTTTTGTTTCTTTTTATTTTTCCGTTCTGCAGCCACTTGTTTGCATTTTCTGTTTTTATTATTGCATCAGATAGAAAACAGATGGAAATACTTTTTTTCTTAATATGCTTATACATGTGTATAATTGCTCTTGTATAAAAGATTATTGAAATCATATTTCTGAGACAACTTACCGGTAGTCGCATGGTATTTATACTCATATATGCCCTGTTTTTGCTTTTTTTCCTTCTTTTTGCAAGTGCGGGTTTTTTCTACCTGCACTCAAATTTTTATCTTTTTCTTTTCCTGGACGACTAGAAAAGATTAAATGCCGATGACGAACCGAAACTGCATGGCACTTTATAGCAAAGTAATTCAACAGGATGCGGCTGGACATAGCAAGCTATCATTATAGTGTTTGCTTATGAAGGTTGAACACCTGGCTTGCCATATCCTAGGGTAATCATTACCACATTTAGAGAGTGGGCCTTAGTGCTAAGTAAATCCTGAAAAAATGGCTCTGCAAGCCTTTCACAGTGACACTGACCTCATGAGTTTTGTGGTGGCATTGGACCCTAACCATACAATCCTCAAAAACGGAGAAAAAAACCAACGATGAGGAAGGTGGGAACAATGGATTGGATTAAATCGAGTTGATCGGATGGCATGGCTCCACCTTGCAGTCGTGGTGCCTGTTGAATGTTACTTTATATCTTTTACTCACATTAAATAAATTTTTCTTTCTTCAGTCTGAATGTGTTCTTCGTCACATTTTGGTAATTGTTTTGATACGATGAGTCAGTGTATATGATGATGTGGCACCCACGTAAGATCTTATATATTAGGCAGTTACATCATGACAAATCTACCATTTAAGGATTAGCTCTATTATTAGAGCAGTATTAATATCGTAGTAGACCGAAGTTCTACAGTATCACTGGACACACCTGGCTGAAGGTGCTCAGTCACGCGTCCTCTCGAGATCAGGAGTGAATAGGCGTGCTACGTATCACAAAACAATTATCCAGTTTGATCAAACGCTCATGGGCATATAAGCGTCTTCGAAATTCACCCGTCAAAGCCTTCATTTCTGATTGATGTTTTGACTGGGCCGAGGCCGTTTGTCCATATAGGTGTCACGGATAAAAGCGTTGTCAAATCGTGAGTATCTGTGGCGTCTTTAAGTTCATTACTTATATAATCAACAAAGGTAGTTATAAAGAATATGATAATCAGTACCAACGTGCTTTGTTCTTAGCAAGTGGATAACAAGATAAATTAATACCGCTACATTTTGAATGATTTCCAAGCTCATATTTTTATAAAATTCCTCAACGGACGACAGTTGTTCAAGACACTCAGACTCGTTTAATGTTCACATAAGTAAAAAATATACAATGACAGGATTTTCGTCCTCTTAAAACACGAAACAACCATTCTAGTGTGTTAATAGGTAATGAAACTTTCGGGTGACTAACAAATTGCTCATTGGAACCTACTTTACAACTTATATTTCTACCTTCAAGGTCACGGTGTATACAGTCGTTTTGATGAATACAGAGTATGCATAGTTTTTTCGGACTTCACCTAGTTTTAAACCTCCCAGATGCTTTTCACTAAAGTACCCTAATCTATGTTAACGTATTTTTCGCCTTTATTTCTAAATAAACCACGATATCCCAGACAACCCAAAAAGGGGAAATAAAGGCGAAGAAAGGGGTAAATGCTTTGGTGGCGAAAGGGGAAAACGCGCCAGAATGTCGCCTTTTTCGCCTGTCCGAAGGAAATAATGCGGATTTTCCCCTTTTTCGCCGTTTTGTCGACAAATTACCGACTTATCGCCTAAATATCCGCCGAATTGTTGCATTTTCGCCTAAATAACCGCCGAATTGTTGCATTTTTGCCTAAATATACGCCGAATTGTCGCATTTCCGCCTAAACAACCGCTGAATTTTCGCATTTTCACCTAAATATCCGCCGAATTGCCTACTTTCCGCCTAAATATCCGCCGAATCGTCTACTTTTCGCCTAAATATCCGCCGAATTGCCTACTTTTCGCCTAAATACACACATAACCCCCTATTTTCCATCCGTTGACAGAACTCCAAAGGTCTCCTATGTTCGCCTTTATTTCCAACAACAGACCAAAATATTTCTGCAGTGCAGTGGAAAAGCAGTACATTTTCGAAAATTTTTATTTAAAAGGAAAAGCGTATTATTGTACAACACTAGAGCCGAAGCTTAAGCATCGATTGTTTTGCATATCCAATGCAATTGCTAATTCATTTTTATTTGAAATTATCTGCAAAAGAAGGAACAGGTGATGTTTTATTTATAAGGAATGTGCATTTAACCAAAAGTTAACTGACACTCAAACACACATTCTCAACACTTCAACAGTTTCCCATGTAAGTAAAAGAGTAAGCTGTTTGAAAAAATAATGTTTATTGAAATCTAGGTAAAACATCAAAACAATTGCACGGACTATTCCCTTAAGCCACGTTCGTTCGGCTATTGAGAATTGAGGTAGTCGTCCTGTGAATTCTGATTTTAAAAAAAGTCACAACCATATCTCAATGACATGCTTTGGCACAGCCAAATACTTGAAGCTGAACTTACGGTTATGTCCGTTAGTATTGTTGACTGTAACTATAGAGCCATAGGGAGGTTATCACTTTAAATTAGTACATACCTGGTCTTGTTTTCTTCTATTACGCTTTATCATCATGTCTCGGATATCGTGAAAGTAACCTTGTGTCGCGATGTCATAGAGCTTACCAAGGTCTTTTTCGTTGACAGATGACAGAAAGCGATGAGTTAAGGCACCTGAAGTTTAAGTAATAGATATAGGTTACTTCGTATGCAGCCGTAAAACGTGCATTTCTGTAGTGCTCGTTTTGAAGAGGTGCCAAGTAACGTGAATTTACTGGCAACCTCCGGTGTCAACAGATGCGACAGAACAAAACGCATCGACGTTTTTGGATCGTCACTTGATAACCTAGTGACCATTGCCATCTGTAATAGTAACAAATTATTAAATTCATGTTAATGACTTACAAATCTGTCCCTGGTTTCTTTCTGCGACAAACCAGTATCCAGCATCTGTAGTTCCTCTTCAGATGACAAAGGGAACTGCTGACTCAACAGTCCGCAATCGAATTGATGCGGTCTTTCGCGCTCATTAGACTTTGAAAGCAATTGCTTTACATTAATACTCAAATCCGAAATGGCTGTTGACATATTCTGCAACGTTTGACTGAAGTCATTCATAGTTGACGAAATGTTTTGCACCATTGCATGCAACCTATCTAACCTGAAAAAGTCCACTTGATGATGCAGGTGACTTACTGGTCTGCTGAAGCACCATGGACACGCTTTGATGCCGATGTAGACGGGAATGTCTCTAATTGCGTCGAACTAATTTTTGAACATGTAAATAGTCATGAAACTTACTTAGCAATAGGCGAAACTAATTTGTCAAACAACCTGAATTTGGGATATTGAACATGACTATTGCCAGCCTGCATTTCAGCAACATCCATGTCTACTGAATTGCAAAGATACTCTTGTTTACGCTTCATGGCAGCTCTAGGAAATGTTAGTAAGATTATTGTACATACCTCTTGTGCTTCTCAGTGTTATGTGGCAGAGTGTTTTCATCCGTTGAAGTGTTTTCCCGGTGAGATTGCAGTATTTGTATGGAAAGTAACAGATCTTTAGCAGACTGCAGAGAATCTATAGTGAATTATACTTTCTGTGTATGTAACTTACCTAATTCGTGAATAACTTTACATTTCATGAGTGACCAATTTTCATTCGGTTGGTCGCACTTCTGAAGGTGTATATCGACCAGCTCGTTCGGAAAAGCGCAAAGTTCCTTGCCTACTATCCACTCCTTGAATGCTATCATCAGTTGTTTTTTGCTGAGGACGTCAACAATGACGTACTTCTTGTTAGCGGGCTGAAAATAACATAAGACCTAATTAAATTATTTGTCGTCATTTATTAAACACTAGTGAAACAAAATGCATTTACAGTCAAGTATGCAGCAATGGGATTAGAACTAGATAATTCCTACAATTTATGGCCATACATTTACAATCTATGTCCTTAACCGAGATCCATGTGTGTTCATGGTTAACTACGGAGCACCTAAAGATTCCAATATCAGTAGATGGGAAAGGATCTTCAAAGTAATTGCGTGGGTCAGTGAAAGTCCTAAATTTTAGTAGTCCATCCTCCTTTATATCAGTGACTAAACCTGGCAGTGGTGTTTACTACTACTACATTATCAGGCTGACATGAAGTTATTTCTCTGTTGTTAAACATAATTACTTGTTTAGTGGAGACATCATTAGCGCCTATTGGGGTAGTATTTGTTAAACCAGTAATTTGAAGCCTATCGCTGAAGGACATTCTCTCAGCATAACGCTGTGCTGCTTGCTTAGCTACTGCAAACCCACTACGCACGGAATCCCTAACTTGTCTCATTTAAGACTCGAGTGGAAAGGCTGAAAAACTGTCTAAAGGTCCATGTGCACGAACGCCGTCAGGGAGGTGCTGTAACGAATGCACATTGTAAATTAAGTTTTCACACCCATAACACCATTCGTATTCATTCAGGAAGTTTAGTAAATCTATTTTGGCGGTTTCTACAACACTTTTATGTAATTTTGGATGTGCAAGCAGATACATGGATAACGCTAAACGCCGTTGGTCTGACTGACGTTGGTCTTTTTAGTGTCAAGTTTAATAAATGCATAGCTATTCGGTTGGCGGCTGTTATATGTGACGCACCTGCTCGTTCTTCTGTTAGGTACACGGTGAATCATAATGGTAAGGCAGGTTGCGATAGTTGTACTGTTCTTGGGAGACGGCTGGAGGGTAAGACGAATTTTCCAAATGGGGTATATGCTTAAAGAACAGACGACACCTTCCGTCGTCAGACTCAATCTATTCACCATCAAGGACATTCTATAATGGAAACGCTTTCTATTAATATGATTATAACTTTTCCTCTAGATCCTATGCACATGGTGTACCTTGGTGTTACCAAGAAACTAGTTAATTTATGGATAGATTTAGCACGCCGAAGACTGCGGAACTTTAACTCATGTGTAATTCGGGACATAAATATATTAATATCTGGTTGTGTGGCAAGTACTCCTTCTGACTTTCCCCGTAAATGCCGTACACTAGACTTTGAATCGGCATGGAAAGCTTCTGAATGTAAGTTGTTGCTTCTGTATTTAGGCCCGGTGATTCTTGAAAAAACATTGCCACAACCTTTTTATCTTAATTTCCGGCGTTTAGCGTTATCCATGTATCTGCTTGCACATCCAAAATTACATAAAAGTGTTGTAGAAACCGCCAAAATAGATTCACTAAACTTCCTGAGTGAATACGAATGGTGTTATGGGTGTGAAAACTTAATTTACAATGTGCATTCGTTACAGCACCTCCCTGACGGCGTTCGTGCACATGGACCTTTAGACAGTTTTTCAGCCTTTCCACTCGAGTCTTAAATGAGACAAGTTAGGGATTCCGTGCGTAGTGGGTTTGCAGTAGCTAAGCAAGCAGCACAGCGTTATGCTGAGAGAATGTCCTTCAGCGATAGGCTTCAAATTACTGGTTTAACAAATACTACCCCAATAGGCGCTAATGATGTCTCCACTAAACAAGTAATTATGTTTAACAACAGAGAAATAACTTCATGTCAGCCTGATAATGTAGTAGTAGTAAACACCACTGCCAGGTTTAGTCACTGATATAAAGGAGGATGGACTACTAAAATTTAGGACTTTCACTGACCCACGCAATTACTTTGAAGATCCTTTCCCATCTACTGATATTGGAATCTTTAGGTGCTCCGTAGTTAACCATGAACACACATGGATCTCGGTTAAGGACATAAATTGTAAATGTATGGCCATAAATTGTAGGAATTATCTAGTTCTAATCCCATTGCTGCATACTTGACTGTAAATGCATTTTGTTTCACTAGTGTTTAATAAATGACGACAAATAATTTAATTAGGTCTTATGTTATTTTCATCCCGCTAACAAGAAGTACGTCATTGTTGACGTCCTCAGCAAAAAACAACTGATGATAGCATTCAAGGAGTGGATAGTAGGCAAGGAACTTTGCGCTTTTCCGAACGAGCTGGTCGATATACACCTTCAGAAGTGCGACCAACCGAATGAAAATTGGTCACTTATGAAATGTAAAGTTATTCACGAATTAGGTAAGTTACATACACAGAAAGTATAATTCACTATAGATTCTCTGCAGTCTGCTAAAGATCTGTTACTTTCCATACAAATACTGCAATCTCACCGGGAAAACACTTCGACGGATGAAAACACTCTGCCACATAACACTGAGAAGCACAAGAGGTATGTACAATAATCTTACTAACATTTCCTAGAGCTGCCATGAAGCGTAAACAAGAGTATCTTTGCAATTCAGTAGACATGGATGTTGCTGAAATGCAGGCTGGCAATAGTCATGTTCAATATCCCAAATTCAGGTTGTTTGACAAATTAGTTTCGCCTATTGCTAAGTAAGTTTCATGACTATTTACATGTTCAAAAATTAGTTCGACGCAATTAGAGACATTCCCGTCTACATCGGCATCAAAGCGTGTCCATGGTGCTTCAGCAGACCAGTAAGTCACCTGCATCATCAAGTGGACTTTTTCAGGTTAGATAGGTTGCATGCAATGGTGCAAAACATTTCGTCAACTATGAATGACTTCAGTCAAACGTTGCAGAATATGTCAACAGCCATTTCGGATTTGAGTATTAATGTAAAGCAATTGCTTTCAAAGTCTAATGAGCGCGAAAGACCGCATCAATTCGATTGCGGACTGTTGAGTCAGCAGTTCCCTTTGTCATCTGAAGAGGAACTACAGATGCTGGATACTGGTTTGTCGCAGAAAGAAACCAGGGACAGATTTGTAAGTCATTAACATGAATTTAATAATTTGTTACTATTACAGATGGCAATGGTCACTAGGTTATCAAGTGACGATCCAAAAACGTCGATGCGTTTTGTTCTGTCGCATCTGTTGACACCGGAGGTTGCCAGTAAATTCACGTTACTTGGCACCTCTTCAAAACGAGCACTACAGAAATGCACGTTTTACGGCTGCATACGAAGTAACCTATATCTATTACTTAAACTTCAGGTGCCTTAACTCATCGCTTTCTGTCATCTGTCAACGAAAAAGACCTTGGTAAGCTCTATGACATCGCGACACAAGGTTACTTTCACGATATCCGAGACATGATGATAAAGCGTAATAGAAGAAAACAAGACCAGGTATGTACTAATTTAAAGTGATAACCTCCCTATGGCTCTATAGTTACAGTCAACAATACTAACGGACATAACCGTAAGTTCAGCTTCAAGTATTTGGCTGTGCCAAAGCATGTCATTGAGATATGGTTGTGACTTTTTTTAAAATCAGAATTCACAGGACGACTACCTCAATTCTCAATAGCCGAACGAACGTGGCTTAAGGGAATAGTCCGTGCAATTGTTTTGATGTTTTACCTAGATTTCAATAAACATTATTTTTTCAAACAGCTTACTCTTTTACTTACATGGGAAACTGTTGAAGTGTTGAGAATGTGTGTTTGAGTGTCAGTTAACTTTTGGTTAAATGCACATTCCTTATAAATAAAACATCACCTGTTCCTTCTTTTGCAGATAATTTCAAATAAAAATGAATTAGCAATTGCATTGGATATGCAAAACAATCGATGCTTAAGCTTCGGCTCTAGTGTTGTACAATAATACGCTTTTCCTTTTAAATAAAAATTTTCGAAAATGTACTGCCTTTCCACTGCACTGCAGAAATATTTTGGTCTGTTGTTGGAAATAAAGGCGAACATAGGAGACCTTTGGAGTTCTGTCAACGGATGGAAAATAGGGGGTTATGTGTGTATTTAGGCGAAAAGTAGGCAATTCGGCGGATATTTAGGCGAAAATGCAACAATTCGGCGGTTATTTAGGCGAAAATGCAACAATTCGGCGGATATTTAGGCGATAAGTCGGTAATTTGTCGACAAAACGGCGAAAAAGGGGAAAATCCGCATTATTTCCTTCGGACAGGCGAAAAAGGCGACATTCTGGCGCGTTTTCCCCTTTCGCCACCAAAGCATTTACCCCTTTCTTCGCCTTTATTTCCCCTTTTTGGGTTGTCTGGGTAGTCATCGCTAATTTTAATCCGTATAAGGATTAAAATGAGTCTTTGCTGGGTACAGTAATAATAACTGCTATGCTACCCTATGAATGTAAGTACAACAATGCCTTGACTAGGTCGATTCGTGCTTTATAATACGAGTGAAATATCCCATTAATTTGTTTTAAATGTATTTACAATATATTTATCACATCTTTTGAAGTCAGCGACATCATTTAAGTATAGTGGCTCAAGGATCTAATACATACTGTTGTATGAAATCAACCTTTTTTTATTAAGAGCGGATATCACTTGAATTATGTGGATACTTTTACTGTATCACTTCTAGTGGGCAACTTTTTAATGCGTTACTACTAGTGAATCGTCATTATATTGCGTTTTGTTTTCAGCATTCTATCTCCAGCCACTTTTAATGATCTCCCTGATGAATTAATCCTTCGAGTTTTTACTTATTTACCACAAATTGACCTGATAAAATGTATTTCAAGGTAAGTTTTACATTCCAACGTATTTTCAGAGTTAACAAAAAGTTACACGTATTATCTCGAAGTTCATACTTGTGGAAACACTTAGACTTCCGCAATTATGAGGTAGAACCGAAAGATTTGCGTCATTTTTCAAAACAGAAACTGGTTGGACGACAAACTTGTAGCGTTAAAATTGAGTGTAGGTATCTTTTTGTCATGACTGAATTGCCCCAAAGTTAATCCGAGATCCAAAAACATTGAAGCAGGATTGGCACCAGTGTTTAAAATTTGTGGTGTTTTGACTCATGTACTGATTCGGGGTGGAAGTATTCATAACTTTCAAAATTTTATCAGATTATTTTCTGATTATCTTGAAAAACTTGAATTAATTGAGACTGTTGCTAAAAACAGGTGAGTTGATTTGTTTAGTACTTTTATCATGAGTAATGTAATCTTCAAATTATTGGTTACACAAAGTGTTCTTGGATTTGTGTAGATTTTTATTTATTTGACTAACATTCAGCTATCAAGAAGAATATATGTCTAGTTTGTAACACATGCTCGTACAGAAATGGTAATAATAAAAGATATTGACAAATTGTCACTGTTCTAATGACACTATCTGTTAAATAAATTAAGTGAAGGGCTTGACGAAATTAAACGCCTACAGACTCAATTGTAAGTGAAGTGCCATAATAACTCCCCCATGCAAACAAAGATGCAATAGTGTCTGTGTTCGCAAGAAAATGTTAAATCAGACATTATAACTATGATATAGAGAATATCAAAGTATACAAATTAACATGTGAGTCCCGTGGATCCCGTTACCCAGTTGTTCTGGTATGTATACCCATCGTTGACGTTGCTTCGGAAGCGCTATTTTTAAACCACTTCTTTAGACTTTGCGCATGTATGGTTATATCAGTCAGGAAACTTACTTAAAGTGGAAAAATCCTCCGGGTAGAAATATAATAGTTCCATAAACCAATTCCGCTGGACAACATCCAATATCTCATTTAATTTTTGCTCTTAAGCCCAAGATGACTAGAGGAAGCTTACTGGTCCGGTTATTGTTGTCAATCGCAGCCGTAAGAGAGGCTCCAGAGGTCTTTAAGGATGGTGGTCCAATTTTAGCGATTAGGTTGACTAATATTTTAGCTAAGATCTGGGAATTAGACTTTATCCCATCTGACTGGTCGCAATCACACATCGTCCCAATATATAAGAAAGGGTCAAAATCATCCTGTGACAACCACAGAGGGATTAGTTTAACAAACATAGTATCTAAAATACTGGCCTCGATAATTATCAGACGTCTAACTAAGACTCGTGAACTACAAACTCGAGAGAACCAAGCTGGCTTTAGACCTGGTCGTGGCTGCATCGACCACATATTCACCATTCGTCAGGTTCTAGAACACAGGCATACCTATCGGCGTCCGACGATGGTGGTCTTTCTTGACTTAAAAGCAGCGTTTGACTCTGTAGACCGCGAGACTCTGTGGCAGTGTCTGTCATTGAAAGGCGTACCTCAGAAGTACATAAACCTTGTGAAGGCTCTTTACTCGAACACTACTAGTCGAGTCAGAGCTTATGGCGAACTGTCATCTACTTTTGCAACTTCAAGTGGTGTCCGTCAAGGCTGTCCACTTTCTCCATTTTTGTTTAACTTCATCATAGACCTATTGATGGAAATAACACTCTCGTCGACTGAATTCTCGGGTATTGATCTCCTTCCAGGAGGTCCACTTATCGACTTAGAATACGCAGATGATATAGTCCTGTTTGGTGAAGACGCTGACAAAATGCAGAGTCTTCTGGTAGCACTAAGCAACAATGCCAGAATGTTTGGGATGCGCTTCTCTCCCTCTAAATGCAAGTTGTTGCTTCAGGACTGGTTTGCGTCAACACCTGAACTAAGGATAGGGAGTGAAGTAGTCGAACGCGTCGACAACTCCACTTATCTTGGAAGTCTGATCAGCCCTAATGGGTTGGTGTCTGACGAAATCTCAGCACGGATTCGAAAAGCTCGTTTGGCTTTTGCCAACTTACGTCACCTTTGGCGGAGGCGAGATATCCGTCTATCAATAAAAGGACGAGTATACTGCGCGGCAGTCCGTTCTGTCTTACTTTACGGCAGCGAAACATGGCCTTTAAGAGTAGAAGACACCCGTAAACTACAAGTATTTGACCACAGATGCCTTAGAAATATTGCTGGTATCTGCTGGGATCACCGGGTAAGTAATAGTGAGGTTAGACGCAGGGTATTAGGGAATGATGGTAAATCAGTTGATGAGGTTATGAATCTTCATCGACTGAGATGGTTGGGCCACGTATTACGTATGCCTGAACACCGATTACCACGACGTGCAATGCTAACCGGTGTAGGGGATGGTTGGGAGAAAGTTAGGGGCGGCCAAACCAAAACGTGGCATCAGTGCTTGAAGTCACTAACTTCTAGTCTTAGCCATGTTGGTAGATGCAGACTACTTGGTTGGGGTCCGCGTGACTTTCGTAACCAATGGTTGGAGACTCTTGGTGACATGGCTCAGAATCGATCACAATGGCGTCGGTGTATACACTCTTTGTCTTCCCTTAAACTAAGAGATTAAAATCACTTCATATCTTTCTTTCTACGAACTAATTCTTCCTTCCTATACTATATCCTTATTGCAACCTTTGACCTAACCACTCCTATGAATCCGGTGTTCATCTTGTTATGCTAATGAGGTATGGCAACCTGGACCGATGCACATATGTGCCTGGTCCTACGTTGTAGCTGACTGACTGACTGACTCTTAGCTAAATGTGTAGCCGTTCTATCGTACCTACCTATCGGATGGTAGAATGCCGTGCGGACATGTTTAATTTCAAGAAGTTCTGTGAGCTGCTGGGGAAGGCGATATTCCAATAATATTTGCTGACACTCCGTTGAGAAGTCCAACTCTCAATGAGCGTTCAGGCTGCCGTCTTGGATGATGTGTCCTTTATCAACACCGCTACAGGTCATCGTGTGAACCTATCGATGCGGGAAAAAGTATGGTTAGAACCATTTGTAACCAGCATTGGTCCCACAGTGTTGATGTGTATGTGTTTGAATCTAGAAAGAACCTACTGCGAAACTAGTATGATGATGAATTCTGACTTTTCGATATTTCACGCATGCTTGTATCTAATTACTAACATCCCGGTTCGTGCTTGACTATGCAAAACGCTAGCTGATCAGCTTGATCTTTGCTTTTATGTAGAACAACTCAAAAAGACTAAACTGAGTTGTCTGAACAAAATTTAAAATAAACCATATGTGTCATGGCCATTCAGCAGTAAAATCCTTGTAAGTGAAGTACTCACACCATCGAATCAGTCTGATAGTTACCGATCTCTTATAATTAGCATTTTAAACTGATCTCCATCTATACTCACCTTATTTTTTGCCGTGTAATTAAGTATGTAAAACTAAATCTAGGATATTACTCCAGAGACACCAAATTTATATCTGAAAACAAACCTGGGTGCTACTTTTATAGTGAATAATTTCGGAGTTGTTCTGTTTTTAGGTTAGTTGATCCTGAATCTCTGCCCAGTGTTCCAAGATTTTCGTTAAAGTATCTCAAGTTATCTGATAGTAGCTGGCTATATGACGTACACTTATCGGCACTGATTGGTTTAAATGCTTCAAAAACTCTGAAATATCTAAATGTATCGAAGTGTTATCGTTTATTTCTTGGTCCTCCAGCATCCTGTCCACTGAACATGCGTTTTGAAAAGATGTCATCCTTTCTTAAGCAGACTTGTCCGCACCTCGAAGAGTTGGACTTATCTTCAGTTTTTATGTCACATAACATCCAAGTGCCTGTAACAACAGCATTGTTAAGTATGATACCTGATACTCTTCCTTACCTTCATACTTTGAATCTGTCAGAAAATCCAATGATTACTTCGTCTCTTTTAAATCAGTTATACGAAAGTCAAAATCTAAGCTCAGCACTTCAAAGCTTCATTACCTCGTTTTTTAATAAAATTCATAAATATAAAGTTTTTTTGTATATATATGACTGGCCACATAAATTAACTATGAGTTTATTTTCTGCATGTGCTCTTACTGTACCTGATGGCAGTACAGTATATTTGTATGTTAATGATGCTCCTATATGTATAGAAGAAAATTCGAAATGTAAACTTATATCTTCAGTAACAAATGACCTTTGTTTTGGCTAAACGATCTTTGTATATATTCTGTTTATATGATTTATATAGATATATATGGTCGATATTTGTGCGGTTTCACTATCTAACTATTCTTTATTTGCTCTGCACAAGTGAACTCATTTAACAGTAGATGGTGACACAAAGTTATAACTCTATAAATAACCTTGCATGTAACGACGATGCCGTTCAATTCCACAATATTTAGTACTGTGATGAACGAGAACACCAGTGGGTACAACCGAGTGTATTCGAACACGAAATTACAGTCTCGTAGTGAAATCTGACATAACACTTACCTCATCTAAATTTCCAAGGGTTGAACTCCTACCAGGAGGTTCACTTGTTGACTTAGAATATGTCGATGACATAGTTTTATTTGGTGAAGAAGCTGACAAAATGCAGAGTCTTCTGACCACCGCAAGCAACAATGCAAACATGTTCAGGATGCGATCCTCCCCCTCGAAATGCATAATGTTGCTTCAGGATTCAGTCGCATCGATACCTGAAGGAGTGAAGTAGTTGAGCGTGTCGACCACCCTACTTATCTTGAAAGTCTCATCAGGCCTTGTGGTCTGGTGTTTGACGAAATCTCAGCACGGATACAGAAGGCTCGACTAGCTCTTGCCAACTTGCGTCATTTATAGCGTAGGTGAGATATCTCTCTACCAACAAAAGAACGGGTTTACTGCGCAGTAGTTTGTTCAGTCCCACTTTATGGCTGTGAAACATGACCGGTAAGAGTAGAGGATATTCGTAGGTTACTAGTATTTGATCATACGTGTCTTCGAAACATTGCTCGTATATCCTGGGACCACTAAGTAAGTAATGCAGTTGTTAGGAAACGGGCACTAGGTAAGGATGGCAAATCCATTGATGAAGTAGTGAAACTTCATCAGTTGAGATGCCTGGGACATGTGTTACGTATGCCCAACCAACGACTGCCCCGACGTGCGATGTTTTCTGGTGCAGAAGTAGGTTGGAAGAAAGCTAAGTGCGACCAGACCAAAACATGGCACTAATCCATGAAGTCACTGACAAGTGGACTGAGCCATGTTGGTAGGTGTGGACTACCTGGTTGGGATCCGCGAGATGACAACAACCGATGGTTAGAGACCTTGAATGACATGGTTCGAAATCGTTTGTAATGGCGCAAGTGCATCCACTCTTTGTGTTCTCCCAAATTCTAATCTGAATTCTTCATGTCCCTTTTTTATAAATTTATTTCACTGGATTATACTACTTGAATAACATCTTCAAACCCTAATGTTTCTGATTACTGCTTATACTTTTACTACCTCTATCACTACGGGATTTGAATCGACAGTTGTATCTCTGTGCTAATATGGTATGGCAACTCGAACTCATGTACGTACGTACGAAGTTCTACGTCGTTGACTAACTGACTGAGTAATCGGAAATGGGCCAATGATTAGAAAAGCATAGACACTAATAACATTCCTAATAAGAGGTGTTCAGATAATTGGACCGTGAAACGTATATCTGAGAAAAAAATCTTTGTGTTCATAAGAAACTTGTCACACCCTCATCTCTCCCTTGGCCTTAATAAATGAGTTTATTTATTATTATTATTTTCCATACTCTCCGCTTATTTTTCTTCACACCCTGTATATTAGAGTAAAGCCTGATGAGGATCTAATTGAAAACAATATTGTTTGCTTATATATGTTGTTCTAAATTACAATGGTGATTGTTCATTGTGTAGTATGAAATTAATAGACAGTAGTCTACCCACTTTACACTTCAGGAAGATACAGAAAGTTTGTAGCTAAGGTGAAGAATTTCAGTAGTACCGTATTCAGTTAGGCACCTCGGTACTTATGTTTTTATTTTCATTCTGAGTAACAACACGCGCACACTTCTATGCACAGTCCCGTTTCATAGATTTTTAATTTGCTAACTAACCTTGGTTACGTCATAGTAGGATATGTGGGTAGACAGCTTTTTAGGACCCTTCAAAATATCTTCCAGTTAAGATTATTAATTGGTTATCTCGAAAGCCTATGTTTTTAACGTTTAAGATAAGATATTTCAGACATTCTTGCCCCTAGTTTATATAAAACTTCAGCTTTTTGTCACTTTAGCTGAACGGTTACCAAACCTTCATGTTCAAACGTCTGCTTCACTATCGTCGAAATATTCTCAACAAAAAGCTTGAGTTATTTATTCACGTTGTTAAGGAATGGAACAATGTATCAATATTTCATTACACAAGTTATATCTTACACTGGTTAATTAGGTAAGAAGTTCAAACAATTCGAACCAAACATACTTCGTATCTGCACAGTGCATCTACAACACTACTTATGGCTGTCAGTATTAGCCTTAAAATTCTCGTAAACACAGATGTTACCTTTAAAACACCAAAAAGGTGTATCTCATGAAAAGGTACATACTCTACATCTGGTAAACTTGCACCAGACTAACTCGATGACCAGCCGTCTGAATGTCAGTAATATAATATAGATAGGTTTTAAATCCTACTCAGAAGACAGCTACAATGTTCACTTATGTATATTAAATTGCCATTTTTAAATAAGTATAATCACCATTTTGTTCATTACTATATATTTAGTACAGTATGAAATTCTCAGCATAAATCTCAATAAATTTCTCCTATTCTTCATATATACCACAAAAGTACACTTACATAAAATGGATTTGTTAAATTGAATGAAATTTTTGAAAAGAGTAAGTTGTTTAATAGTACGTCAGAAATCAACGTAATTAATTGGAGTGATCTCGGATTCCGCACTGGTTTAAAAATATCTTCTGCTTAAGTCGTCTGGGTTATTAGAATAACGTGATTAAACTTACTTTTTATTGAGATGAAACAAACTAGTATTGTACACTCTATTCATATGACAGCTGAATACAACACTAAGTTCAAACAGTGGAACTCTTTAGTGTTGCTCGAAAGTCGACAGAACATGTCTTCAGTCATGACCACTGTCGTAGATTCATCTTTTCAGCAAAAACAATGTAATTAATAAGTTCGCTAGAGGCGTAACTGAAATTTTTTTGTACTTTAAGGGTTAATGAATCCTTAGTATTCCTTATCACATAATTGTAAACCCAAGCCTACACATTCAGTGTACATATCACCTTTCACTTATTTTTGTATGGTGTATAATTTTTTGTCGTGCATCTGTCCTCACTTAATTTTTGCGATTTTCTGTTTTATGTAAATATTCATGAACATATGTTTTTTCCAACTAGTACTTTTTATTTAATTTACGGTTGAATCCAGGTTATGATCACATGCTTGTCGCATTGGTTTTACTATATCTCCGCTCACATATTAGTGTGAAACTGTGTTATAAGTAGGTTTGTTTATTCATAATCACTTATTCGGATTTGGGAATTCATAAACTGGTAGGTTTGCTAAGAAGAATAGTATGTGTTCGATAAAGAAGTATGTACTTTCAGTGAAGAAATTTTCATCCTGGCTAGTTCTATCTAATATACATTCGTTGAGAAATTAGTTACTCTCACGTCATATAGAAAGTATACATTTTTTAAATTTTTCTCTACAATGGTATCAACTTTCACGTTGTTTGAATTGAAATTACTTATAAGTGGTCAATCAACTAATCGTATGCGGTCGACTTAATAATAGTTAAGAAATAAAAATATTACGACTAGACAACATTGGAACACATGGTTACGTGTGTAATATATATATAGTTTAATCAGCTTAGTATTGATTAAAAATATAAAATCACTATTGTGATTCAGTAGAAGTAACCATAATCAACAAAGAGGTCCTGATAAAGAGGGATAAAACATGTTTAGATTTTTCAGGAAAAATGAAATCCTAAGAAACGTTGCGTTCAAAGATGGTGTATTTTGTCAATGAGGACAATGATAGTACAAAATAAAGCCCAAATTAAAGCCATTATTATCCAGAAAAAGTTCTGAAATGGTGATGCATGCATAGAAATAGACAATAAATGATGGTTGGAACATTTTCCTATAATTGAAACAGAATGTGGTGTTGTTATGTCATTTGTTGAACCATACATGATATTCTCATTCTCCGTATTATTATTGCTGGAATTTGGTTGTATCATTTGTTCACCAACAGTTGCCGATGTCGTATCATCACTTTGCTGTAGATCTGTTGTTGTTTCAAGATAAGATTCTTTCAGAGGAACACAGTGTGTAAAGTATCGACGTGCTTTAAATACTAACAGCGCTGGTATTATATACTGTATACCTGAACCAAAAATTGCCCCGGTAAAACCAGTTAAATATCCAACATTATTAGTTATTAATGCAATCCCTAATGGTGGCAGTAGTACGACAAATGGTAATGTGTACTTCAAAATGTTTTGAGCTCTATCACTTCCGAATGCAGAGAAGAAGTTACATAAAGAAAAAATGTTCCCAAGTAAACTAGTTCCAACTATTGGAAAAGATGAAGTCAACGCAAACACAGGAAATAAACATAAAAAATAACCTATTATCAAAGCTAATGTATAAGGAATTTGTGATATGTCGATAAATTCATTGTTCGGTAGAAAATTCAGTGTGTAAATATCTTCAATATGATTAAATGCAATGATAGCTGTAGTAGATAATAAGAGGTTAAACGATAGAACTGTAATGAAGACAGGTATAAATATTCTACATAGTATTTTACTCTTATCTCTAACAGGAGTTACAATACCAGGTATAGAATGATGACACATAAATACGTACACACAAACTCCGAATAAACTTGGTATATTTTGAGGTTGAAAGGCTGGCGGTTTTGGAACTGGTTCAGATTTTATAAGTAATGAATAGATTGAAGGATTCCAATACATACTAACATTATGGTGAAACGTTGCAATTGTAAAGTTTTTGTGCAGAATAATAGCTCTTTCAATTGAAAAACTCAACATCAAAATAAAACCAATCCATCGTAGACAAACGGTCAGTAGTTGAAGCCATCGAGAACGAATTACATTGAAGAACAAGAATGGGCAAACACATGCACCAAAACAAACCTATGAGAAAAATAAGTACGACAAATTGGGGACAGTTGCCCTAACATTATGTAAACATGCTATTATATTTATCGTAGGATAACGTAACTTATCCAATAATTGTTTGGCTTGAAACTAAGATATATTCGGAACACTGTTTAACATGAATGCACCGTAATTCAGGAAACATTTGATGATTTATATGGTTGTGAAACAGCAATTTAAAGCGCAAGAGCCGTGCGAATTACAGGCATTTGACCATGCATATCATCGTAACAATGCCCTTACGCGTGAGGTAATTTGGGTTGGTGTGTAAACTCTTCGGCGGAGAAATCAGATCTATAGGTGTAGTTGTAAAGATGTGCCGACTAAGATGGCTAGGAGACTCATAACAAGCGATTAACTGACAGATAATTCCCATTTAAAAATAAAGTTCAGAGAAGGGATCTTTTTTCAACGAATTTATTATCAAAGCTGTACAATCGTATATACATATAGAGATTTTTTGGTAAAGTACTAGTTCCATGAGGAAATGTGAACACAAATAACCAAGATGACGTAATAGAAAGATTATAATACTAGATTGCGTAATATAAATAATAACAATAGACTTAGTAAGTTAGTAACAAATTATAACGTGAATGTAGTAATATAACTAAAATGTTTTTTGTTACAAAATTAAAGGTCACAGAGGTGTAAAAAATAAATAAAGTGATATGATGGGTACTTATGAATAAAGTAATGAGAATATGAGACATAAGTAGGAGAACTCCCAGGAATAACTGAGTAACATAAAATGCGCAAACTATTTACAATAATCATGGTTTCAAATTGAACCTTTTCATTCATTACCCTTTTTTGATCATAACCTTTGATTCCTTATGAAGATTGCTTCACAAACTGACTATACAGCTAATTTGAAACTGCTATGCATTTATTGTGCATAGACCTAAAGATGGTTCGTTTCAAAAAGTCAAGAAATTTAATGAAACATTTTTCCAAGTAGTTTTCTGAAAACTTCAGTCAAGTTTCATCAAGTGATTATGACAGATTGGAGAACGTTGGCGATCTTTCTTAAGGCCGCAAGTGAGCCCTTTCGATAAGTCCCAAACCAACACAAAACAGTTGACCAATGGCCTTTGGTTTTTAATAATTCTGTCGTTCGATTTTAGGTGACGAAAAATATTTTCAAAGGAATTCCTGTCCGGTGTATTGTTCAAATTAAGCTACAAAAATTTCTCTATATAATTCATGCTCTACTACATAGATAATTAAATTAATTAAGGTAAAATAATTTAGTAAACTTGGCTACAGAGACGCTAATTCAGTTGGTGTCACCATCTTGAAACATCGACTTCAGTGGCTTTAACATGTCCTGCGAATGTCATCCCAAAGGATTCCACAACGCGCATGATTTACCGAAGCTGGGACTGGTTGGATAAAGTGGAGTCGTGGTATGAAAGAAAGCTGTACAGGACTGACTTCTATTGGTCCTTCATGACTCTCTGGTTAGGGTCCCAGAGATGGTACAACACAATGGCTAGAGACCTTATCAGACATGATTTAGAATATAAATCAGTGGCGGTCCTGTTGTAACTTTCTTTTACTTTATTCAGAAAAGTGAACGTAACTTCTTTATCTGAAAGAATTCTTTCTGTTAATATTTTTGCTAACTTAATTGCTTTTTTCATTATTACCATCTCACTCTCATACACTAATCTCTGTTCGATTTTTTTTATCATACGCACTTTACACTATTCATCTTTTCACAACTTCATTGTTATTGTGTGGCGCATACGTATCTGGTGCCCCCTTGTACCAATGTTTATGTTAAAATAAATAAAAGTAGGACTTTACAAAATAATAATTTAGGCCAAAGAATAATTATTTTTCTAACACCACCTTCGTATAATACACTTGTTTGATTGACAAATTTACTATAAAACCCTATGCAACTATGACGTAAAATGAGTAATGACGAAGAAAGTTAAGAGCATATGCTAGTAAATTGATATTTTTCAATAAGACATTGTAAACGATGTGATCGGGATTGTATTAATTATAATATGAACTGACATATCGTATACAACCGATAACAATGAGTATTATATGACAAATATTACCGACCAAAATAATAACTTACAACTAATATCCTATACACGTCTAAGCGAGTGAGAGATGACGATTCCCAACAAAGATCTGAATCCGACAAAGAATCCCGTGAGTTATTAAAAGAACTAAAATATGTTAAAAAATTATTAGTCTCTTTCAAGGCAAAGAACAAACACTTTTTTATCACAAATAAATCAATTTACTGTTGCCATATACACATTCATCTATTTAGTATTTTCGAGCACACTCCGAAGTATTATTTTTCATACGAATGCCAGAGTTGAAATTTTTGATACCAATCAATAAACAATTTGGCTGTTGACGATAGATAAATCCTGTAATTCTTAACCATTGAAAAGGTTAGGAATATTTGATAACACCATATTTCGGGTAAAGGGTGTTGATAAAGAATGTGTATACAACGTTAATAGTGTGAGTCAGCCCATGATGTTGTCAACCTAAAATGAATAGGGTAGTGAGAATGCTAGACAACTTGATATAATCATGCTTTTGTGGTCAGTTGCTAAAGTAACAGAAAGCTGAAAGGTAATGCTACCAAGAAACAGGTTAGTTGAAAGCTTATGTAAGGTTAATCTAAATGTAGGTTCACAAGCCGCAGGGGCACTCGTCAAGGATAATAATTGCTTTACAAAGAAAATAAAACTAAGGAAATGTCCAAGTAACTCAGAATAAACGATTTATTCGAAAACGCAAACTCTTATAAACTAGTTTCAGACAAATTTGGCCAAGTGAAAAATACAAGAATAGATAGCTAACTCAAAAATTATAAGAAAAAGATGCGGCAAATTTGAATGACTGTAAGGTGAATATTATAAAATTCTGACTAACCAGATAACATTGCGTAACGACTTTGGAACTGCTGAAGAGTAAATGGTCAGGTCACCATATAAATACGCACAAATGTTGATGTACATCAAAACGTTCCCCACTTTTCCAAAATAAAAGAGCGACATTTGACCCTGAAAAGAAGTATTACAAGAAGAGAAAACCCTAACAAGCTCGTATTTCTCCGTAATTTCGAAGTCACTTGGGACAATTCTAGTTGTACCTTTGGAAAAGAACATATAAAAGAGCTGATGACGTACCACCAGACATTCTACCAACCAGATTTTCATTATCTTCATGCTCTTCACCCT